GAAAAAAATGGAAAATATCCAAACTAATTCTTCACATGTTGGCATTGCTTTATTCTGTGGTGTGAAATGGTGGAGATTTAAGTGTGCAAAATTTTGCAACATCAGCATATCAGACAGATCATTATTCCTGGCATATGGAATAACTTTGAGTCTCTTGTGTCACAGAAGTTGATATTTGTTTCCCAGAATGGCACCCATTTCAGTTCCCTTTTGGCATCACAAGTGCATCACTCTGGAAGGCACACAATGCTTTTCTCTGATCATTAGAACATCCAGCTATCCAAGAAGGTAGATTTAATGCCTTGCATTTCCATGGTCCATATTTAACTCTCCTTTTAATGCTTTCCTTGCTGTCTTGTAGAATTAATATGTCTTCAGAAGCTCACTTTACCAACAGTAGATACACCCATTCTGTTTGTGCAAATGTTCAGGCCTGAAGGTTGCTTTCCTACTGATACCACATGAACATTTTTTCAATATTGAAGTAGAAAATAAGATTTGAATATATTTTACAACTGAAAATGCCTCAAACTTAATTTGACAGAAGAAAGTAGATTTAATGAATTCTTATTATAGGGTGACAGGAAAATACACAAAACAACTTTTCTCTGGTACAGCTTTTAGTGTGAACATCCGTCTCTACTGACTGGAATTAACCATAAGCAATCCCACTGTAATTCTTTGGGAACTTTAGGGCTTTCCAGGTTCTTTCTCAGGGTGTTTGGGAAAGTGTTACATTTTCTCCCTGTGCTAGTATGTTCACAAAAAAAGAAGTAATTTTCCATATACTCAGAGCCATTTCCATCCTTTAGACACGTGATTAAGTCAGTCCATAATTCATCTAGACTTGGTATGTTGTGGTCTTTGAATTTTACCCGGGAGAGGCAATTCCAGTGTGACGTTAATAACCAGCCTGTAGTCTGGTTGCATCGTTATGCACAAATCTCTTCAAAAATGTCTACATCGTTTAACTAACTCATATAAAGCTTGTTCACGGACTTGTCAGTTTGGCTTCAAAAGAAACAGGTTTTTACCCATTTCAGATCAAATTCTCCCTTAATTTAGACAACACTCAAATGCTTTACAGACAACTTTAGAGTATTTTATAGAATCATGTACATTTGATGAGACGACTGGAGGCCATGTAGTTCCATCTGCTGCTCAAAGTGGCTCTGGTTAGAGCTCAGGGCTGTGTAGAATGAAGTCCTGAACATCTCCAAGGATGGAATTTCCTCATAAACCTCTGTAGGCCCCTGTTCCAGTGCGACTGCCCTCATGATTTCAAAATAATAATGATTTGTGCAGAATCATTTTTCCTCATTAATTGAATTATATAAAACTCATTCATAGTATCATCAACCACACACGGGAAGATGGCATGTAATGTGTTTGTGAATGTATGTGACAGGTGTAACTAGTTTCAAATAATTACTATTCTATGCTAATGACCATGGAAGCTCATTAAGATTATATACGTTCTATAATTCTACCATTTGAAAGTATAGTGGAATTCAAATTTATTGGGAATGCTTTTATGGTAAATTATGCTAGCTCATCTGCTTGTGTGATGCTGTATGGCAACCAAAACAGCTGATCTTCTTAATTCCCTCCTGAAATTTTAAATAGCATGACATGCTGTCCATTGCTGTCTGAGTTTAATCATTGCACTACCTTAATGATCAAGTGTAGTTCTCACTGAATTGAGTTGTAAGTGCATTCCTCAGCACTTCAGAAAAATCATCTGCTGATCCTTAGTCAAATGCATTGAAGAAAATACATTGTTTTTTCTAGGCATTCAAATACGGGTTCTGGATGTTACCAAAAAGGAGCAGATAGAAAATCTGGCAAAGGAGCTTGAAAAGATTGACGTCCTCTGTAACATTGCAGGGTAACCAGCTTCTCTTTGATACTGCTCTTTTTCCAGTTTTCTCTGTCCTCCAGAAGTACCTTGTTATTTCAGTGCATTTTATTTCTTTCATTTTAATGGATTTTGTAACTTTAGTACAAATTTTAATGTGTTTTCATCAAAACTGAACTTTTTGTGTGCAGCCACGTTACCCAGGACAAGGTAGAACAGCTCTGGAACTTAAGTTCTCCCCACTCTGTGGGTACCCCATACTGATGGTTTTGGCCCTCCTAGCACAACAGCGAGCAAAGTTGATGGTCTGCTAATGCTCTACTTATTTTTTCTATTGCCAAGTATTTCATTGCACATATTGAGTCTGCCTTGTGTCCTTGATACTCATCACTGTTACTTGCATTCTTTCAAAAAGCTCTTTTCCCTCCTTTACAAGGTTGAAAGAGTTAACTACTGCAAAATAGTGATGGAAAAACATGCATAAAAAGCCACAGAAGTGTAAACTAGAGACAGTAATCTACTTCCTGCACTTATTCTAGGTTTGTTCATCATGGAACCATTCTGGAGTGTGAGGAGGAAGACTGGAACTTCACTATGAACCTCAATGTTCGCAGCATGTATTTAATGATCAAGACATTCCTTCCAAAGGTAAGGCTCGATTGCCTATGATTTCTAGTCTCTGCTGCACTATGTTTTAAGTGTGAGAGGTCTAAGTTAGCCACTCTGGCAGCATGGGATTTGAGATAAAAAAGCAAGGATGCAGCTTTGGATAGGGAAGCCCTTAGATTACAGTGATCCTGCTGTAAAAAGGATTCTCTGCATTTTATAATCTTTTAAGTAGACAATTTATCTAAAGGATCTTGTAGAGGAGATTAATTCAGGGGTTTGCCCTATGTAATCTGTAACTAAAATCCTTCAAATGCTGAGCAGTGAGGGAGCCATTGCAATACAGTGCTACCATATTATACTACAGCACAGAACGGCACAGTACCACTGCTACAAAATATTTATAAATAATGTATATTAACATTAATTTTAGGGAACTCTGGAAACTGTCTTGTGAAACAATTCAGTGACACTGAGGCTAACATGCTGGTTATAGCAGAACAACAGTTTGATGAATCTGGCAGTTTGAGGGTGCTTGTTTTTGACATAATAACTAGGTTTGGGTCTACAAAAACCTGTGGACTGAATGAGGTGTTTGTATTCCTGTAAATGCAAAGGCCAGATGTGGAAGGTTTGACTGTGACTGGATGATGACTACTTTTTTCAGTATTGTTTCAGTCCTTTTTGTTTGGTTAGTGTTTTTTTTTTTTTTCTTAGCTGAACTTAATTTTCAAAGTTGGTTTGGTTTTTTTTTCTAACAACTTCATGCATATCAGGTTTTAGGATGCCTAAAAAAGGTTATAACTTAAAGAAGTTTAGCTACAATCCAAAGGTGTGAGAGTATTGTGTTTTAATCTTCTCCAAAACAAAAAGGCTTTGAATGGGATCAGTGAACTGCTGCATTGGTGGACGACATGAGCAGATGTCTGTGTAGGATGACTTACTGTGGGGACAAGAGGGCCGTGATTCACAAGTGGCTATATAGGAAAGAAGTCCTTTCCTGGCATAGTCTCCAATCCTGACATTACTTAGGAGACTTTGAGTGAGAACTTCAGGCTCTGCTTTACTGCTTCAGTCAATGGCACACCTATCCATGACAGTTAAGCTTTGTTACCCTGAGTATCAACTGCACATAAGGCTGCTCTGAGTGTTGATGTGGGCTGTTTTACTGACCCTGAAGATAACAAAATAGTTTGCATTTGAATGACATAAGTACTCTTTTGCAGATGCTTAAACAGAAATCTGGGAATATTATAAATATGTCTTCTGTGGCATCCAGCATCAAAGGTCAGTAACTCGCCAGAGTTTCTTATATAAAACTTTAAAATGATGGGCATGCGAAGTCTATATTGCACAACTTTGAATTTAGAATGTCCTCTAAATTCAAAGTTCTTTCTAAATCCTGTGGAGGGATGCATTTAGAAAAGTAGGAGTGAGTGAGCACATCAACTCATATATATGCAAGGAAACATGGAAAATTGCAGAAATGCCAAGATCCTTACCTCTGAGCTTTTTCAGTGTTTTGTAGCATCCTTTTTACAAGTTTTTATTAATTAAAAAGGAATTACTTCCAGTGATATCTTGCTGCGTATGTTCTTCAGAGAAACAATGAAGAAATGACAACTACATAAGTGCTATAGCTTTGCTTTCCAAGGATGCCTGGTGGTGACTAACAAATGGGTTTCTGCTGCTGCTAACTGTTTCTTTGTTACCTTTTCTAGACTACTCCCCAAACTTATACTATTGAAAGATTTTGTGCTTTCCTCTAGTGTGTGCCTGAGTACAGTTGTGGCAGTCAGCATTCTAGCTAGCCTGCCCTTATGGAGAGGATACAGGGGCTACAGGAAATTCTGGAGTCCAGAAGCAGGTGCCTACTGAACAAACTTGCCTCTCATTTCTTTTTTTTTGTTTGTTTGTTTGTTTTTTCTTCTTCTTTTTAACCATCTTTCTACGCTGCCTTAACACGGACCTTCGGTTAGGAGTTGTGAACAGGTGTGTATACAGCACTTCAAAGGCAGCAGTTATTGGGCTAACAAAGTCTGTGGCTGCTGATTTTATTGAGCAAGGCATCAGATGCAACTGCGTATGTCCTGGTAAGTGTTCTTACATTATTCTGTGAACTAGGAGCAGATACTAGAAGACCAGATTTAGTTTGGCATTACTAACAAAGAATAGACTGGCCAGCGGCAACTAAATTTACCAGCAGTCTAAAAGAACAGGACATGCCTGAAAGATTTCTGAGATTTAATATAGAAAAGTTGTTACTTCTGTGGTTAAGCTGTATGTTTAATCTGTTAACCCAGTATGTGCACTTTATATGTGTGTTACAGAGTATTTGAATGTTTGTTTTCAAAGGTACAGGCTAGGAAGTCAGAAGCAGGCAAGGGCTAGCTAATGGGCTGGCCACTGTTTAACCATCAAAAAATCATTGAATCTGATTCTCAAAACTCTTGCCTTCTACTGAAATTTAGAATCCTATGCTATATTGGTGGCTTTGCAGTCTTTCTCCTGAATTATATTATGAAGTTACACAGAGGCATTAAGACATACAAATAGAACAAATAAACTGCTTTTTTTTTTTGGTCATGATTCCTGATGTAGTTGATTTTTAAAACCAAATTTAAAATTTTGCTTAGGAACTGTTGACACACCGTCTTTACAGGAGAGAATCAAAGCCCGGCCTAACCCAGAACAGGTGAGAAAGTAATTTATTAGCTTGACCTGTGCACACATATGTTTAACTCTCTTTAAAAAAAATGCAACCAATTAATATATAGTGGCACTTCCGTCCATTTTCAAGAATGTTGCTGATTTAAGAGTACCATGGATAACTTAACAGTAGTGTCTCCTTTGATAAGTTTCTACTCCACAGTCTTAAAATGCCTTGGAAGGATACTATCACTAACAGAGGGTCTGTAGGGTCTGTCATCCCTGGAAGAAATTGCAACTGTTGATTAAGGTATCCAATGCAAAAATGAGGACATTTTCTACCCTGGCATGTGGCAGCCACAAACCAGTGCAAAACCATGCTAGGAAGGGCATTCTGGCCTATGCATTTCAACATTATTGGGAATGCTTAACCGTACTGACTAGATCACTGTAAGCTCTCATTTGAAGCACCTGGAATATCTACCACCAAAGGAAGAAGGATTTACATTGCCTTTATTCTGGAAGCAGAAATTTAGGTGCTGTCTAAAAGTCTTGTACTTTTTTCCCAACCTGAAATTCACATCTTATATTTTTCTAGCATAAGTTCCCTACTTGGTGCACAAAAGGAAGTTATGACTAGAGGCCTGTTTCCAATATTGCCTTGTACATGTCAACAGATTAAAATAATTGCTTTTTTATTTTTGATATACCAAATGCTTCTGTAAATCCAGGCACTGAAAGACTTTCTAGCCAGACAGAAGACTGGTAGGATGGCTACTGCTGAAGAAGTGGCCCATCTCTTTGTGTACCTGGCTTCTGATGAAGTAAGTAGAGAACAATACAATGTCCTGTCACAGCATCCCCACACTACTTCGCTGCCTCACAGTACAGAGTATTTGTTTCAGAATGATTTATATTGTCTTTGAGCTGGATTATTAGAAAAATAAAATAAAAAAAAAAAGTGACCATCTTTTAATGAGTTCAACCTGTAATACAAAAAGTACTCTGAATGTTGACAGTGATTGCAAGGCACTAGGTACACAGGCCTGGTGGTTTCATGTCATCTGTGCAAACTGACTGACCCCAGATCATCTTGAATGCTAGAAGAAATGGGCTTGTTTTCTTTTTCCAAGCTTGCACCATGGCTAGATCATGTTCTAAGGAGGTAGAATTAGTAGTCACCACCTACCTTTGGTATTCAAGGGCAAAATATTTGCGTAGAACTGCTGGAGATTTTAGCTAATGCTCAGAGTGAATGTGCCCTTTCAGCATAAGGAAAACAATAGACCCACTGAGGTCCTTACACACCCAACTCTTGATGACCACTGCAAACACCACCAGCACTAATGAGCACACATCAATGTTATTCCATCTACTACAAATCTCAAAAACTGAACTGTATTCCTCTGAACTTGTCCAGCAGTCCTAATGTGCACATCAAAATATTTTCATGGATTTAATTCAGTCAGTGTTGCTATCTATCAGTAATCTGTTGCTCAGTTTCATCTTGGTTTTAGTATTTTTGTAACACTACTAATTTTTTCCAGTCAGCTTACAGGGTTTTCAACCATGTGTAAGACAGAATTCTAGCTTTTCAATAAATTCAGTATGCTTCAGTACTGACATAGAGAAGAATATCAACAGTTGCTTACCACACTCTCTGCATCATCTAAATTTTCAGTTAGGTCTCCTCATAATTATTGCCTGACCTAGTCAGATTCTGCTCAGGTGAACAGAGCTAATAACATAGTGTGAGGCATTTATTTCTACAGGTAAGCTATCTGAAGTCTAGCTTATGTGAATTTGTACACTCAGGATGCATTCTCATCTTAATGCCTCTGATAATACTTTAGTCATACTCCCAAGAGTTAACTGAAAGGCTTCAATTTCAAAGTTTATATTCAGATATTTTATTATTTATTCAGGTATTTTTGTAAAATTAAAAAAAAAAAGGGATTGTACAAAAAGAAAGCAGATTTTTTAATTTAAAGAAGTAGAGTTTCCCTATAATTAACAGCCATGAAAAATTAGTTCCAATCATTGTTCTTTTTATGTAATTTCAGTCTGCCTACGTGACTGGCAATGAACTAATCATCGATGGAGGATGGAGCTTGTGATTGACCCTCCCTGCAAATGGAAATTTTACCATGAAAGGCAAAAAGTGAGGATGGTGTTTCTTGCAAAGATTTAGATCACGCACATGATATCTTTCCAAACAAATTTGCTGCATTTTTACTGCTATTTGCTTCACTTTTACTCTTTCTAGACTGATCTTACTGATTCCCTTTTCCTTAAACAGTGAAACACTGGAGTAAAATGTACTTCATGTGGCTTCAGTTTATGGCAGTTCCAAAAACATGAAAGAATGTTTAAGATTTCAGAGGGCCAAAAATATTATTCAAGGTACAAACTCTGAGTTGTGTTTTAAGCAAATATGAGTGAGAGGAATTGAATACCATCTTTATTCCCATCTTACAGAGTTTTTTTGAAAATTAAACATTCACATTTAGATTTTCTACTAGCATTGAGAGACTATCTAGATAAAATGGAGCAACAACTATGGAATCAGCCAAAAGGATCCTGAACTAAGTATGGTTTAAACAGAATAAAATAGAAATAATAATAAATTTGAAGATCTGAATGTTTGAATCCTTTTCTTACTGGTACCAGATGTTCCTATAATAAGAAAACACACTAGTTGCAAACTGTAGTTGAAAACACATTCTGCTTTGAAAGTTATGAAATAAGTAGTTTTCTACTCTGTACTATCATTAACAAAATATTTTAGAACTCTAATAGCCGTAGAAAAACTGTCTGAATTGTTGAAAAGAATGTTCCAAGCCTGACAACACTTACAGATCCAAAGTCAGAGCTACAAGCTAGTCAGACAGGTAGATATGTGGTGTGTGAGCAAATGAACTTCCTGCACACACATCAAAGAGCCAGTGTACTCACACAGCTGTTCTGTGCAACTGCAATGTCCATTTTCCAGATCTTGGGCAAATTAGGCTGCTGAAATCTGGAAAAGCAGTAATGCAAAAGGCAGGGCAACAGATTACCATTAGAAGCAAGAGGATTGGCCACTTTCTGGAGTTTGGGAGAGTTTTTTTGTTTAAGCACATAACCACTGTAGGCACTGTCTTCATGAAGCAGAAACGGTGGAGAGGAGCCTGCTCTAAAGGTTAAGACTAAAGCTTAGAGCGTTTTGAGCTCAGAGACATGTAGTGATACAATCAGTTATAAAATGAGTACATTAACTAGTACAAAAGAGGAGAAATATAGACCAGAACTGTTTCTTTAATTCTATAGGTCACTTCTAAAATGATCTTGGAAGTATCATTACTGTATCTCCTCTCCTCTGCTTTCATGTACAGAAAGTACTATGCAAGAACATCACTTGAGCAGGCATGGATGGGAGGGATATGTGGGAGAAGTATTCTTAAATACAAGGGTGGATCTTTATGCCTATGCTTCGCTTCTGGCACAAAAGCAAAAGGAGTAGATTTTACCACTCTAGATAGAGCCAATATATTCTTCCCCAAACTGATGCCCTAATACTGGATAAATACTGTAAAATCTGTATGCTAGGTGCTATGCTTTGGTGCTCTGTGCTTTATTCACAAGTACCAATACAGTTCATACTAAAACACAAGGCAAAGTTTCTCTGAAAAGGACTGTTTCTACAGGGGTGTGTGTTGATGTTTCTGTTGTGCTAGCATATGGTAGCTTTGATCACGAAACAGAAACCCATTATTGTAAACTCTCATACTCTGAGTAAAAAACATAGATCCTGACCCAGAGGCAATGAATAACCTGAATTCCAAAAGTATTTGTTTTGCTAAGAAACTGCTTAAACGCAACATGAATGACATGGGCTGACTGCCTATAAAGATGGATACTTTTAACAATTGCTCACAGCTCCATTTATCTAGTTCATGAATGAGGCTATATGTAATTTCATTTATATAATCATATACATCAAATATATATGTAAGGAGGAATTAAAGAATAAATGCTTCTGAGTATGATTCATCAGTAATCGAAGTACAGGAAAAAATGTAAAATATTTTGTGTGTGTTTCTGTAACAACAACTGCCACGTTTATAAAATTATTGCTTAAGCTTTTCAATATTAGTTGAAGCATTAATATAAATTACCTGATTTCAAAGATAATGGAACATGTGTTTAACCTTTAATTTAATTATGTGTTTAACCTTTACCTTTAATCATGGTTGGCGCACTCTGGCCTTGTGTAGTTTGTTTATGGGGTTTTAGAGAATCTAGTATTTCAATCAAGTGACCCTGGCAGCCAAGCAGGATCAAGCTGAGGCAGAAATTCGGAGTTATCCGAAATGGCTCCACCAATGTTCACTGACATAAATTCAAATGTTAAAAGTTCAGGCTGCCAGGATACTGTTTCAACGGTTATAGGGTTTAATGTGAAGGCCAAAGTCCTGCTTCTCTGGTAGGCATAGAAGGCTTACCTTGAAAAGAGAGAATTTCCCCACTACAGTAACACAGGAAACTTGCACTGTGTATTCCGAAAATATAATTAAGAATGAGAGAAAATTCATTATACTTATTGCACACTGAGCTTTTATTACTTAACGTTTGTAAGCTTACTGATGATCGTAGTATAGAGATGTTAATCAAAAATGCCTTTTTCTTTTTTTTTTTTTTAATGCTCAAGGCACTTCTGCAAGGGCGTTTTTAGTGGTACGCCAAGAATCTGGTGCAGCAGAAAAATAAAAATCAGCAGAGCTTGCTGTCTTTTGCCTTATTAGTGATGCTTTTCACGGATGTGTTAACAGCTGCAATTCTGAAATGTGTTCTGTCATGGGGTTTTTCAGCAGACTTGTGGGAATTATTAAAAGAAATGCTTCTTAATGCTCTTGTGACCTCTTAGTTCCCTGGTCTGTTTTTAATGGAACTGGGTAATTCTCTTTGTTGTCCTTCCACTCCAGCGATAATATAAAGAGGCTTTATGACTTTTCAGATTCTAGGTCAAACTTTTCTCTTGTGGGGGAGGGAGGCAAAAGACTTCCACAATTCAGAGTCCTCCTGGAAAATTTAATCTGATCAAAAACCTGTTGTTTTTTTTCCTCTTGAATTTGTAGTCAGCTTAGTTCTGTGTGTAATGATACTAAGAGCAGAGTTGAAAGTAAGTCTGTTTCATTCTCTCATCTGCATTTACAGATGAGGTGACTGCGCTTGTTTTATCTTTAAGAAGTAGAAATATGTTGCTAGGAACACTATAATATGCAAATGGGTTTCGTTTGGGGTGGGTTTTAGGTTTTTTTAATTCTCCTGCCTGCCACAGTGCATTTCTTCTACATGAACCCAGAGCAGAATCAACAAGAGCTCCTTATCCTTCCCTTTCACCAAACCTCCAACTGCAGTCTCTGAGTTAGCGAACTGTGTGTAGCTTCCCCACGCATCTTCCCATAGCCATGGGGAACGCAGCACAGAAAGACTTCTCCATGCGTACAGGATGCAATGAATGTCATGGGAAGCAAAGGGCTGGAAAGACACAAAAATCTACGTCCTCCTGGGTGCTGATGTATCCTGAGCCTTGGATGGGCTCAGGTCTAGACCATCGCTCAAACCAACCTGACAGCTGAGCCCCCCCATCTCCTGCGACCCGTTCACTCAGGCATCCGGGACACCCTTTTGGGCATCCCGGGCTCCAGCAGGAGGCTTTCGCTAGGGGCCTGGGGCAGCTGTGGTTTTGGAGGAGGGACTATGGCGCCAGCAGCAACAGCCGGGGAGGAGGAGCCGGAGCCGTCCCGGAGGAGCTGCTGCCGGGGGCCGGGAGCGGGTTGTGTCCTCCCCGTCCTCGCAGGGAGCGGATCCCTCGCTCTGGTCCCTGCTGTTCCCCAGGTGAGTTTTCAGCCGTTCTGTACCATTCCATCCCCGTTCCCTGCAGCGGGAGGCGGCAGGAGGGGTGACCGGCGGGCAGTGTTGGCTGGCAGGTGGCTGCAGCGGGGTTTACTTAGCGCTTTTCTGTGGATGTAATGCGTGGCTTAGGTTGTTCGGGGGTTTCAATAGTTTATTCTGGATGCCAGCTGCTCTGGCGATGCTTGTGGTATTTTATTTGTATTCCTCTCTGTGCCGTCTGTGTGCGAAGCAGAACATAGAGAATCACCAAGGCAACAGAGCTAATGGGATAGGCATGAAAGTGCTGTCCCTCTCTTTCCTCCTCCTTACCCATTAAAAACAAGTAAAATGATAGGATCTAATAAAAACCTCTCTGGTTTCAGAATAAGGAAAAGTGTATTTTCCAGGGAGGTACTAAAATAAGTCTGTTATTGGCTGGTTTCCATGGTACAGGCCTTAACCCTGTGGTATGAATTCCACTCTATGATTTCTCAATCACTGATTTTGTTTGAATAGGGGGTGAAGTTTAAAAAACAAAAAAATGCCTTCCCCCCCCGGGAAAAAAGAATTACAGTGAACCCCCAGAAGACTGACACTCCCTAATGTAAGTACACTAACCACTCACTGGTTATTTATAATGTAATGCATATATTGGATCATTGGTCCCATTGATCCACTACTTAAAAGTGGGTCCTTGATCCTGCTAACAGGGTGAAGACCTGTCACAAAACAGATAAGGACAGCACATACACTATTAGATTTCTCGTTCACACCTGGAAACCATTCCTATCAAGCAGAATTCATTCATCTCCCTGCTTAATCAATCCTTTCTTTCATATGCTATTGTGAACAGTGCATTCAGAAGCTGAAGCTGTGGAAAGGTGGACCTGCCTTTCTCAGAAGTGTTGATGTATTTTGTGTCAACAACTACGTGACCCCATGAACTGGGATGTTGCCTGTGCAGAGATGGATGGAAAACAATATCCTTCTGTCCTTTACCAACACACGCCCCTTTCACAAGTACAAAATTAAGTACAGAAACACTGGGAAAGAGGTCAGTGAAGGGAAGGAGGGAGGCACTGGTAGGTTGCTGATAACTTTCTGTTGTTAGTTACAGTTAGTACAGTTAGTACAGCTGGCATTTGTGGATACCCAGCCCCAATGAAGGGATGAAAAAAAACCAAACCAAAAGTATTGCTGATGTCATTAAAGAACTCTAAGAACACAACTATTTGGTTCTACAAGTAGTAATTAAAAATATAGAAAAGTACTGGAATTGGAGTAAACTTAACAGTTTACATTTAAAAAGGAAAGAAGCAAAACTCTTACCTTAGAACACATTGAAAGTGTTTGCCTTAGCCATGCCTCAAGCCAGTTTCTTATCAGCATAGCTCAAACAAAACTACACTGGTGTTACAATGGCCCATCTTTGTTTATGGTATCTGTCATTCCTAAATATCAAATATTTCATTATAAACTGAAGGCTTGATAATTGTGAAAATCAGCTCTGACTTACTTCCAACAATTTAGCAAGGAAGGAATTTCTTGGCTCAAAAGTTCTGGCATAACTTCACTGGTGTTTAATATGGTCAGAGCAATGTAAAAGATTTTAAGAAATTTAGCTGATGGAGAGTAACAGAGAAGAATACTAGCAAACCTTGTCTTCAGGTATTTGCATGCAACTCTTGCTGGCTTAGACTTGTGAAACTACAGTAAATATTTGCCCCCCAAAAAATCTGACACACAAAACAGTGCACTGCCATA